ACGAGGACAGTTCGGCCAGACAATAGAATCCTTAAAACAGCCGTATTTCGCAGCTGACGGATTCCACTAAGCAATGGGACATATATTATCAAGATGAAGCATCGTCTTATTGCGGCCCTACGAAACCGTTTAGGAGCTGACATAGACGGTCGAGTGAGGTCTTCTATAGGCTAAGAGTATTTGATAAATAACATAAATCGGCTACTCGTTAACTGTGGTTTCTGTCGGTTATCTTTGCTCCCGCTTTCCGGCTCCCTCGTGGGGGTGTTTTAGGGCGCATCATGAAGAGAGCCTCTACTTCATAAAGATATAAACGGCCTGCGCCATTAAATTTTAAAAATATTTCTGCGTAGGGCAATTTCGGATGGTGTGTATTAGCTTACCTGTAATCAAGTCCCAAAGTTTAGAGCCACACTACCCATCCTTCTTTTTGCAGCCCTTTAAATTTAGCTTTATCTCAATACCGTTATCAGAGATCACATAAACACTGCGCTTCACAAACTCGTCGGTATTTCGGCCGCCTAGACATAATAAGAAAGACTTGTAAATTGACGTGTAAGCAACGTGATCAATACTGATAGCAAAATATCGAAACGCGTGTTAGCTTTTCTCCTTGTAATATGTATTTTCCAGTCCTTATACGTCGTCATATATATCGTGGCGGCCTTTGATGTAATTATATTTTCCTCCCACTCTCTCCTTACCTCTTTTTCACTATATTCCCTCTCGTTCAGTACATTTGCATTTACTACGCCTGCATGCTACCTGATCTGTTTCCTTCAGCGATGCATCGTAGTGGGTCCATCTTCGGTTGTCTCTCCCTCAGTATCGACCATTCGACTACCGCTTTAGGCGAGGCTCCCACTCAGTTATCTTCAGTAGGCCCACTAGACCTTTACTAGAGGTAGCCGTTGTTCTTTTTTCTGGCTGGAAAGTTCGGGTTAGAAGCTGTTTGGTGTATTTGCCAGCCGAGTATCGTATGGGCTACCTCTTGTGACTTCTAGGTTCAACGGCTAAAGGTCGTTTCTCCTATCTCTGCCCACTATCCTCCAAACTTTGATTGGCCGTGGAAATTATTTTTCGTCCACAGGGACCATTAATGGTTCTATACGAAGACCACCAAATGTGCAGCGTTTAGTGACGCCATAAGATGTCCTGACCTTATTCAACTGTGTATGGTCATTGCACATTAATAAGCTATTGTAGAATATTCGAGTCTGCCCCCCACATCAGGACGCCAGTCTAGGTGTATCCAGCTACCTGTGGGTTCAACGTCGTACATCCGTCATTCAACTTGTTGTCTTTTATTAAACATTGAGTGATCTTCAGCCCTAGACTTGTAGTAATATGTTGTGTTGTACCAATATGCGTTCTTAAAAAATGACTGGCTGCCAGCCCGTGACCTAGCGGTTGTTTGGTTCAGCTAACGGCTAGAATAGGTATGACCACAAACAACAACTTCTGTCCCACTCGCCCCATCCGCCTCGTGCATATACCAATGCTTGTGCTGTTGTATGTCCATAGTTTCGCCCCTAACCTCTATGCGGCTTTCACGAGGTAGCCCAGAGTCCCCCTGCAAAGTTGTATTCTTAATAGAAAATCTATTTTTTCGCCTTAATCGTGCTGTTAAACGCCAGCGCGTGTACATATAATCATTTATATCCCATTTTGGTGAATCAACAATAGCTACTAGGAACTGCATTATCATATTTGCCTCAGATATTTTTTAGCCTTTGGCCATTTTATAATCATAGAACAGGCCTGTTTAGATCCTTATTATGATTCTCATAAAAGCAGAAGTGAAAATGAGCTTTACACGTAAGACAAAAGTCGACTGCTTTTACGGGCGGCTTATTTTTTAACACAGTCAACAAAAGTAGTTTTAGTGTGATAGCGGAAATGTGCTCTATTTCGCGCACATTTTTAAGTGATCTGAGGATGTTTTCTTTTGTATATCTAGGTTGCTAACAGTCATGCTGCAGCAAATTAAACTGTCACCCAAGAACTTTGCTTTCGCCCTTAAGTCCGTCAGCAGCGAGGTAGGATTGTCCTTTTTTGCGAGTATTTCACACCAGTTCGACTCAATCCTCAAAAGGACTTGGAAGGCTGCAGCAGATGCTGGATTCATGAACTACAGTGTTCCTACTACAGCGTCTGTTGCACACTGTACTGTTAAGGGTTCACCCTTCATAATATTGGTGAGTTGGTTTGCATTGTCGATCTCCCTTCTTCCGCATAGACCCTCCCGAATCGCTTTACTTCCCGAAGAAAACCCACAGTCCCACATAGGATGGATGAGCAGCTGTCACCTGAAGGCTTCAATTTCACGAAGGTGAAACCGAGAGAATTACTCTTCTATCTGGGAATGGAGGTAGTCGAGTATTGGAATTTTCGGTTTACTGATTCAGGATACGGATACCCAGACGGGTGTTGTTCTGGTGAATGTAAGCCCCTTCACCTTTGGGCATTCGCTGCTGGTACCGGACCCACCAAAGTTGTTTAACCAAGTACTCAGATATTTATACTCTACGTGAATTTGCCGTCTATTAGGTTATTCGTAGACCATCCTTGGATTTGGCTCTGAGCTCACTGCTGAGTTCGGCAGATAGGTAGGTCTACCTAGTTTTGGACAGTATGCCTCGAATAGGGCAGCATGCAGTCAGCCACTCTTTTGATTTTTTTTCGCTTCATACACAAACTGATCCACTCTTAGCCCCCATCCGCCTTATATAACAAAATAATTAATCGTTGGGACTCCTCGTTGCCCCTTAATTTGGTTTCGTGCTTTTATTACTGGAAAGTAAAGTCTTCTCTGCCAAACGCATATCTAAATCCACTTCTCTTTTTTTCGATAATAATCAAACACCGCTGCCCTCTGCGCCGATAAACTCTTCTACGTGACTGCCAATTTTAGCAGAATGGCTTTGCTCTGCCCGTTTCATTAGTAAACCGCGCTCCTAAATAACTCATGTTCTTCCAATCCTCCCTTTCCCGGTAGATCCAACTTTCGTCGCTGAATATTAGTCAAATATAGGTACGTTGTTGTTGGTTTTTGTTGGTGGAGGGGGATTGCCAATGGACAAAACTTGTCGTCGGCAACTCCAACAAGAACGCATGAATAATATCTCTGATAAATTATGGCTCTCTGGATAGTGGCTGCTTAGGGCAGCTGAATAAATGCTTAGTCTCCTGGATGGCTTATCCAACCACCCCCTCAAAGACAGTCGTCTAAAGTTCTCAGGTTAGGCGAGAAGATGGATGAAACCTTATTGGATGGCGAGCACTTTTTACTATAAGTCGACCTTCTTACGGATGCCAGAAGATGTTGCCGCTGTGCGGTCCAATGTTGCTTATTTACCTAACCCCGTGGCTCGAACAGCCACCCTTCCTTGAAGGCTACTTCAATATCCACCGCATGTGGACTCTGTGAGTGGACCGCCGATAGGCTACCAGATAAGTCCTCTCTGGTGGGAACCTAAACAGCCACGAGCACAAAAGCCCTTGCATTTTTGTTCATTCGTTTAATATCT